CACAAATAAAATTAGTAAACAAGAAGGAAAGAGAAGCAAAACACAATACTAGCTACACAAACAGTCAACACCGTAAGCTCCCCGGAAATGGCACCAAAAAGTTGATCGCGGCGAACTCAACCTTACATAACGGTAGGAAGAGCGGGCGCTAATACTTTTACCCGAATAGTGGTATGGGGGTCAATTTTCACAGGGAGCTTGGAATGGAGTTGCGTATTTGTTTAGACTAGGAATGCGTGTTTGCTCCTAATTGTACTTCTACCATTTTTTGGGTTTTTGTTTAATCACTACTATTATCAACTACAAGTTTAAGCTAATTTATGCTAAAAGGGTATGTTCTAAGTTGTGATTAATATAGAGAAAGACACTAGGGTCATGGCATCACCTAGGTGATTAACTAATAGGCAAAGGCTACTAATAATAGATTGACATATTTGGGATCAATGTTATAACCATGCACATTTGTACCCACTCTCACACCTCTTGGTAGAGAGAGCGATTTTGCCCAATTGACTCTCTCGAGATTAATTGGGTAGGCCAATTATACCAAGCAATTAGGGTTCAAGTAGGGTGATTACTCTCTCGAGGTTTAACCCGTTAATTGGGACTATCCTTCCTCATGGGTCCACCCCAATTCCTTGTTGGGTCAATTCTGGGGTCATAGACTCTCTTTCTCAAGAAAGGTCAAGATCCACCAAGCTAGAATCAATGTTTGCAACCATCAATCCTTAATTAAACAATAAAATTGACCCAAATAACAAACACTCAATATCAATCTATCATTAAGAAGCAACACCCATTAATTACCCACACTAGGGTTGAGCCACAACCCTAGCTAATGGGTTTAGCTAGACATAATTAAAGTAGAAAATGAAGAAATAGAAGATGAAACAACCATATTAATTAATTGCTAATGCTAAACTACAATAATCTATGATGAAACTAAGCTAAAAGTGCCCAAGATAGGCCAAAATATAAGTCTCACGAGTGCAGCAGCTGTTAGTTGTACAAAACTGACCTAAAAATGGTAAAATGTTTTATTTATAGTGGGCTGGAAAAACTGGATAAATATGCCCCTGCGAGGTTAGTGCGGACCGCACAAAGATGGCACACGGCCGCACTGAGTTGCTTGACCTCTGAATCTTGCTCTCTGAAACTGGTGATGCGGACCGCACAATATTGTTGTGTGGCCGCATGAAAGGTTTTTCAGCTTCTCTGAACTTCACTGATGCGGGCCGCGTGACCATAGAGTGCGGCCGCATAGGAGGGAGCGCGGGCCGCATGAAGTTGGATGCGGCCGCTTGGTTTACTTCTGGAATATAATACTCTCTGAACTTATGGGACGCGACCGCATAGCAAAATGGTGCGGCCGCATGAGTGAGATGCAGGCCGCATGAATTGGGACGCGGCCGCATGGGGCATGGCTTGTGAGTTCACAGTCTCTGAACTTCTATGGTGCGGCCGTTTGACATGATGGTGCGGTCCGCACCAAGTTCTGAATGTCTTCACTCTACTGATCTTTGGCACTTGAGTAGGTTTCACTCCAATTAGAGCTGATCTTTGATGATTTATCACTTTATAGCTCAAACCTGCAATCAAGCGCAATCTGTAAGCTTTTTGGGACTATTTTGTAGCAATTTACACTCAAAGCGCAGGAAAGTATGGGTATAAAACATGTTAAAATCCTACTTATCACCTTGCAAGGAAAACCCAGTGGGACAAAACCTTGTAAGGGAAAAGGAGTGTAACGCGCATTAACTCCCCCTGATGAGAGTATCAATTCACATCTTTAAGCATTTGCATTCCAATCTTGTGCACCATCTTCAAAGGATCTTTGGTAGAGATTTGATAAACAAATCAGCCATATTAACTTGAATGAATATATTGCATCTTGAAATCATCATTCTTGATAGAGAAGTAATGTCTTCATAAACTACAATGGAATGGCCTTTTCAATATCTCCATAGAGATTCTTGCTATCATATTATCATGCTTATAGTTATAGCAAGATATATATATGCACAAATTGCACCTAGGATGTGGAACTTCAAGACCAAGAATTGTATATGCTTTAAGCGATTTAAATCCTTCAAGGATTGTCATATAAGTTAAGTCATATAATAGACTTTAGATGCATATCAAGTTTTTATGTCATGCTAGACATATAATATATAGAAAACTGATTGCACATACCATTGACTTTATACTTTCAAGTGTTTGAACTACATGTTCAAAATTACATGTCTTTTGTATGAAACCAATTCTATTTGAATTGTGTCTCTTCCATTTGTCCAATATTTTTGTGTTTATAGGCGACTGATAATAGGCGAAATCTAGGTGATTTAGCTATTATTTATGCTTCCGCTTGATTATATTCCAATGTCATATTATGGTCAATTGATGAAAAATAGGCTCTAATTATGATATGTATACATTGCAGGATGAGGAGCCTAAATAATGCTTTCAAGAGGATATTGGAATGATTTATGAGCAAGAACAACCCCTAGGAGTCGAGTGTGCGCAAGGACGAGACGGAAAAATGGACGGAATCGAGCTTCAGAAGCGCGCTAAGTAACGCGCTAACTCTAAACTTCGCGCAGTAGTTCGCTAGCTTTTCTGCCTGGAATCTAAGAGAAACGCGCGAAGTAACGCGCGAACTCCATACTTAGTGCAGTAGTTCGCGCGTGTCCAATCCGAAAAAACGTTGATTGGGGGTAAAATTGGAAATCTGGAGGGAAACCCACTTAACCTATATAAAGTCAAGCTCGCCCAAGGTTAAAGGGGGAAGTTTTTCATAGTTTAGTGGATGAGATAGAGAGGCAAGAGGCAAGGAGGAGTTTTGATCATCAAAGTCTTCTTTTCTTCTTTTGTTTTTGCTGTTTGTTATGAAATTAAACTTGTTTATGATGAACCCTAGTATGAGCATCTAAGACCCATTGTTCTAGGGTCGTGGGTAAAACATGAATGTTGTTCTTAATTATTTTGCTGAGTAGCTAACAGTGAAATACTATCTAGGAATATTTAGTTGAGCTCAAAAGTGGGAACTTTGGATTGCATATAGAATTAAATAGAGCAAGTTCTTGAACCCGGGCCTCAGGGAACAGATTTGCAATTACGATAGACATATACCCAATTACCTTGTTTAGTTGGAATACAGGAATTGTAAATGTGTTCTAGTTAATCTTAATTCCATAGACATATAGGCATTGAGTTGACTTGAATAGGCGAGTAAGAACTCGACAGATTCTTATGAGTAATATCAACCCTGTCAATCAATAACCCAGATAAATTGATTAGTCATTTCGAGCCAAGAACACAACACGAATGTAACTATGCCTGTGACCCTGTAATATCTTCTCCTATTGTTTGTTACTTGTGATTGCTATCTGTTTGGTTACTTGCTTTAGTTAGATTAATTCTTTATAGTTAAGTAGTAAAACAATTACATCTCTCTCTTGTGAACAATCTCTTGGGTAGATAAAGAAATTGGGTTTGAATCAGTCAACAGTTGGTCATAAGTCTTCGTGGGAACGATACTCTACTCACTACTCTATTACGTGATGACCACGTATACTGGCGTGTGTGTTTGGTCGCAACAAGTTTTTAGTGCCGTTGCGGGGGACTTAGAAATTAGCTACTTGACTGAATTGAGCTTTTATTACTTATTTATTCGAGTTTTAACGTCAGTTCACTTTGTTTGTGCTAATACAAGAGTTTCTCTTGAATGCGAAGAAGTAGAAGCGCAAACAACCTCCTTCCTTTTGATCCCAAAATTGAACGAACACTTCACAAGTTGAGGAGGGAGGTGGACGCGGGAACCAAAATTGAAAGAGAGTTGGACATCGAAGTTCAACCACAGCCAATTGAGATGGCGGGTAATGAGGAACGCGCGATGATTGAAGCCGCAAGGCCCAGTCTGGCTAATATGACTCAAGCTATTGTGAAGCCTGGCATCACTGGGCACTTTGAGCTGAAACAATACATGATGCAGCTGATCCAAGCCACAGGGTTGTTTGTGGGTTTACCTCATGAAGACCCACAGAGGCACATTCAGAATTTCTTGGAAATTACGGATACCTACAACTATCCGAACGTTTCCAAGGACTATGTCAGGCTGACACTTTCCCCTTTTCACTGATTGGGGAAGCTAAGAAATGGTTGAATAAAGAGCCAGCAAATTCAATCCGCACTTGGGATGATCTGGCAAGGGAATTCTTAATCAAGTTTCTCCCCACTAAGAAAACAAAGGTATTGAGGAGTCAAATTATTGGGTTTGAACAACGAGCGGGCGAGACACTACGTCAAGCATGGGAAAGGTACAAGAAGATGCTCAGAGACTGTCCTCATCATTGCCAGACGGACGAAGTATTGGGTCACACTTTTGTAGATGGATTAGATGATGCTTCAAAGATGAATCTTGATTCCGCTTGTAGTGGTAGTTGCATGGCCAGACCGTACAGTGAAATCCAAATCTTGTTGAATAACTTCACTGCTAATGATAATAACTGGCAAGGTGAGGGTGATTCACGAAAGGTAGTTAAGCAAAAATCAGCTGGGTTACTTGAGTTAGATGAAGTATCAACCATGAGAGCCGACATTGCAAAGTTGGCCAATCAGATGACTCGGATGACAATGCAGCAACCACAGGCAATGCAACACGTACAACAGATGGATATTTGTTCCGAACTCTGTGGTGACAGTCATATGAGTAATATGTGCCCCACAAATCCAGAGTCCATCTATTATGTGGGGCAACGGAACAGAGGTCCACCGAATCAGCATGCACAATATGGGAATTCTTACAATCCTAACTGGAGGAATCATCCCAACTTCTCATGGGGTGGAATCAGCAGAATCAGAATCAGTATAGACCCCAAGGGAATTTCAATCAGCCTCAAAGACCACCCCAACAAATGGAAGAAAGTACCAATGATCTGCTAAAGAAGTTGTTGATTGACAATCAGCAACTCAGGACCGACTTCAGAAATATTGAAAGGCAAATGGGGCAGTTAGCAACAACTCAAAACACTAGACTTTCAGGTGCTTCCCCCAGTGATACAGAAAAGAACCCTCAAGTGAATGCAGTTACACTTAGAAACGGGGGGGAGCTAGAGGAAATGCCAAAGAAAAAGAAAGACAAGCCCATACCTGGGGGAGAGTTGATCCCTAAAGTGACTCAAGAGCAAAAGAATGCTACTGAAGTTTCAGAGCCTGTGGAGGCCCCTAGACCACCACCACCTTTTCCCCAGAGATTGAAGAAAAAGAATGACGATCGCATGTTCACAAAATTCCTCTCTATGTTGAGCCAGGTTCAATTGAATATTCCACTCGTTGATGTGCTTTGGGAAATTCCAAGGTATGCTAAATACATAAAAGATATAGTATCTCACAAGAGAAGATTAACTGACTTTGAGACAGTTGCACTTACTGAGGAGTGCACTTGTAGGGTCCAAAATAAGCTCCCTCAAAAGCTTAAGGATCCTGGCAGCTTTACGATTCCTGTGCGTATTGGTAATGTGGATGTAGGTCATGCTCTGTGTGATTTGGGGGCAAGCATAAATCTGATGCCCCTATCTTTGTTCAAACAATTGGGTCTGGGAGCTCCAAGGCCAACTACTGTGATGTTGCAGCTGGCTGACAGATCGATAGCACACCCTGGAGAGGTGATTGAAGATGTGTTGCTGCAGATTGGGAAATTTATCTTCCCGGCTGATTTCATTATCCTTGACTATGAGGCTGATGAACTGGTTCCGATCATATTGGGGCAACCTCTCTTAGCTACCGGTGATACAATTATCAAAGTGAGAGAGGGAAAGATGATTTTGCGGGTAGATGACGAGGAAGCAGTTTTTAATATCTACAGAGCAATCCAACTTCCCCGCCACTATGAGGAGCTCTCAATGATATCTGCTGTTGAGGCCGATGAGCAGATTCGTTATCCTAGTGTATATATAGACGATTCTCTAGAGAAAGCACTTATGTTACTTGATAACCTGGGGGCTGATGAGGAGCTTGAGGAGATGATACACGTCCTTGATACATCTTGTGCGTACTTGCAAGGGATACACCCCTTCGAGCCTTTGAATAGACCAGAGGGGCCTCCCCCAAGGCCATCAATTGAGGAAGACCCAAAATTGGAACTTAAACCTCTTCCACCTCACCTGCAATACGCTTATTTGGGTGACTCTGACACTTTAACTGTTATTGTTTCATCTGACTTGTCTAAATTGCAGGAAGAAAAGCTGTTGAGAGTGCTACGTGAGCACAAGCGAGCATTTGGGTGGACTATGTCTGACATTAAGGGCATTAGTCCAGCCTTCTACATGCACAAAATCCTTATGGAGGATGGACACAAGCCCAGTGTGGAGCAACAACGTCGACTCAATCCAATCATGAAAGAGGTGGTAAGAAAAGAAGTGATTAAGTGGCTCGATGTAGGTATTGTATTCCCTATCTCAGACAGCAAATGGGTAAGTCCCGTTCAATGTGTACCCAAAAAGGGGGGGATGACTGTAGTAGTTAATGATAATAATGATTTGATACCTACAAGAACTGTCACCGGGTGGAGAATTTGCATTGATTACAGAAAATTGAACAATGCCACCCGGAAGGACCACTTTCCCCTCCCCTTTATTGACCAAATGCTTGATAGATTAGCTGGCTGGGAGTACTATTGCTTCTTAGACGATTACTCGGGGTATAATCAGATTGCTATAGCCCCAGAGGACCAAGAGAAGACCACTTTTACGTGTCCTTATGGCACGTATGCGTTCAAGCGAATGCCTTTTGGTCTTTGTAATACACCTGTAACTTTTCAAAGGTGTATGATGGCCATTTTTACTGACATGGTTGAAAGGTTTGCGGAAGTGTTCATGGACGATTTTTCTGTGTTTGGATGCTCTTTTGATAATTGCTTGATGAACCTTGATAAAGTACTTGCTAGGTGTGAAGAGACTAACTTGGTGCTAAACTGGGATAAGTGCCATTTCATGGTACGTGAAGGTATAGTCCTGGGATACAAGGTGTCCAAAGATGGTTTGCAGGTGGATAAGGTAAAGGTGGAAGCGATTGAAAAATTGCCTCCACCGATATCTGTCAAAGGCATTCGCAGTTTCTTGGGCTATGCAGGTTTTTATCGTCGTTTCATTAAAGATTTCTCAAAAATTTCCTCTCCCTTGTGCAGGTTGCTTGAGAAAGATGTCGCCTTCAAATTTGATGATTCCTGTCTGAAGGCATTCGAGAAGCTGAAAGAAAGGTTGGTTACTGCACCAATCATAATTGCTCCGGATTGGGAGCAGCCATTCGAGTTGATGTGCGATACTAGCGACGTGGCTGTTGGTGTTGTCTTGGGGCAAAGGAGAAATAAGATATTCCACTCCATTTACTATGCGAGCAAAACTCTGAATCCAGCTCAGATGAACTACACCGTAACTGAAAAAGAGTTGCTTGCAGTGGTGTGGGTGTTTTACAAGTTCCGGTCATATCTTGTAGGAACCAAAGTCACCGTCTACACAGATCATTCAGCCATTAGGTACTTGTTTAAGAAAAAGGATGCCAAGTCGAGACTGATTCGGTGGGTCCTATTACTGCAAGAGTTTGATTTAGAGATCCGAGACCGTAAAGAAATAGAGAATCAAGTGGCTGATCACTTGTCCAGGTTAGAAAATCGGAACCATGTGGCTGAAGGGGATGCAATCAAAGAAACATTCCCTGATGAGCAGTTATTGGCAATCACCTCAAGTACAGTCCCGTGGTATGCAGATTATGTGAACTTTATTGTAAGTGGGGTGACACCACCAGAATTGACACCAGACAATAGACGAAGGTTCTTGCATGATGTGAAGCTTTACATGTGGGATGAGCCATTCTTATACAGGCTATGTGCAGACCAGTTGGTTCGGAGATGTGTTCCTGAGGAGGAGATGAGTGTCATACTTCATAGTTGTCATGCCTCGTCATACGGAGGTCATCACGGTGGAGACCGGACCACCCAAAAAGTGTTACAATTAGGTTTCTATTGGCCGAAATTGTTTAGGGATGCACACATCTTTGTTAAAATGTGTGACAAGTGCCAAAGAACCGGGACGATCACTAAGAAACATGAGATGCCGCTGCAAAACATCCTGGTAGTGGAGCTTTTCGATGTTTGGGGAATTGACTTCATGGGACCTTTTACATACTCGAACGGCCATAGATACATCATGGTGGGAGTTGATTATGTGTCTAAGTGGGTGGAGGCCACTGCTCTGCCCTCTAATGATGCAAAGGTAGTGGTAAGCTTTGTCAAGAAGCATATCTTCACACGCTTTGGAACTCCCAGAGTGTTGATCAGCGATGGAGGTACACATTTTTGCAACAAACTGTTAAACAATGTCCTTGCAAAGTACGGGGTCAAGCATAAGGTNATTGGCCGAAATTGTTTAGGGATGCACACATCTTTGTTAAAATGTGTGACAAGTGCCAAAGAACCGGGACGATCACTAAGAAACATGAGATGCCGCTGCAAAACATCCTGGTAGTGGAGCTTTTCGATGTTTGGGGAATTGACTTCATGGGACCTTTTACATACTCGAACGGCCATAGATACATCATGGTGGGAGTTGATTATGTGTCTAAGTGGGTGGAGGCCACTGCTCTGCCCTCTAATGATGCAAAGGTAGTGGTAAGCTTTGTCAAGAAGCATATCTTCACACGCTTTGGAACTCCCAGAGTGTTGATCAGCGATGGAGGTATGCATTTCTGCAACAAACTGTTAAACAATGTCCTTGCAAAGTACGGGGTCAAGCACAAGGTCTCCACCGCGTATCATTCCCAGACGAGTGGTCAAGTGGTGGTTTCAAACAGAGAGATCAAGCAAATTCTTGAGAAAATGGTGAGTGCAAATAGAAAGGATTGTGCCGGAAAGTTAGAAGATGCATTGTGGGCTTATCGAACAGCATACAAAACTCCCATAGGTGCTTCTCTGTATAGATTGGTGTATGGGAAGGCTTGTCACTTGCCCGTCGAACTTGAGCACAAGGCCTATTGGGCAATAAAGAAGCTAAACATGGATGGGCACTTAGCTGGAGAGAAGAGGCTACTGCAACTCGATGAACTCGAGGAATTTCGATTACATGCATATGAGAATGCCAAATTGTATAAAGAAAAGACTAAAAGGTGGCATGACAAGCACATTCAATATCAAGAGTTCGAGCCAGGGCAAGAAGTTATGTTGTTCAATTCGAGGTTGAAGCTTTTTCCCGGAAAGCTTAAATCTCGTTGGTCAGGCCCTTTTGTTGTGGTCAGCGTGAAGCCTCATGGAGCTGTGGAGTTGAGAGACAAGAGATCTAATGGCACTTTCTTGGTGAACGGTCAATGGATAAAACATTACTAGGGTGGTGACTTTGCACGTCACAAGACCTCAGTGGACTTGAAGGATGCTTCTAGGAATGTGTAATCGTCGTGCCACGACATTAAATAAGGCGCTGGTTGGGAGGCAACCCAACGATAGTAGTAGTGTTTGATTTTGAGCTCTAACTTACTAACAAATGCAGGCGACGAAGGGCAGGTGAACGAACCATCAACCAGGAGCAAAGTAGGTGACAATAAATGCAAAAATAAATGCCCAGGAGCGCACTTCGCGCCCCCTTCGCGCAGAAGTTTGCGAATCTTTCTGCCTGAACTCTAACTGAAACGCGCGACGTATCACGCGAACTACAAACTTCGCGCAGAAGTTCGCGAGCCTTTCTACCTGGGACTCACCATACACGTGAAGTATCGCGCGAACTTCAGACTTTGCGCACCTACTCGCGCGCCTGGATGAGCCTCTCAGCCTGGAACTTTTCAGGCGTGTTGTTTTCTTTTTGTTTTTAGTTTTCCTTTTTGTTTCTTCTATTTTTGTAGTTTAAATGGGTTGTTGGTTTATACACAACTACCCCTTCCCCTTTTATTAAACCAAACCCAATACCCCCAAAACACAATCATCTCTCCCAAACCAACAAAACCCCCGAACTCTCCTAACTTCCAGCACTCATCTCATATCTCACGGGCTCCTTCCCTAAAATCATTAGCAGCATCACCCCACCTCACGAATTCTAACAAGGTATGAGCCCTTGTTTTAGTTTTTTTTTCTCTTTTCCTCTTTCTATTTTCAGATTTTAAGTTTCTTGTTGTATTTTATGCCATTAATGTAGTTGTATTTTGTGATTTGGGTTTCAAACTTGGTAAAATATATTGTGGTGTTAGTTTGTTGTAAGTGTGGGGTGGGTAGTACTTGAATTGGGTTATGGATGAACTTTTGTGGGAAGCCTTTGTTTCAAGACCCTTAGAAAAAAGCTGTGAGAGCCTACTGCCCACAAGGTGTTTGTGGAAAGGCCTCAATGAGCATGATTATGTAGTTGTGACCAATTTTGCGTGTGAAGTCTGAGTAACCGCAGCAAGTCACACTACTTTTGTTGGGCTGAGCTAATGTGTCCACGTTTTGCAGGTATTATGGCACCAATGAAAAAGCGCCAAGCCACGGGTCCATCATCAAGCCGCCAAAGGGCAGCTCCAGCACGCTCCTATGACAGCAACAAATTTGTCTCCCTTGAGGCTCATACCCGTTTTACGGAGAAGGCGGCTAAGAAGGCAATTGCGGAAAGGGGCATCAACATCAAAAAGGTCAAGGAACGATGCCCCCACATGTTCAATGAGTTGATGGAGCGGGGTTTGCAAGCTTTCATTGACGAGCTAGGGGAGGCTAATGTAATAGTGGTACGAGAATTCTATGCCAATCTACCCGAGCATGTCAACCATGTGGTCACAGTGCGCCGTAAGGCGGTAGATGCCTCCATTGAGGTGATACGCACAGCTTTTTAACTGCCCGACCCTCTGCCTAAGAACACGGACTTTTATGAATATGGGCGTAATCCAACCGATGCCAAGTGGGAGCGCTTCTTTGATGGAATTTGCGAACCAGGAAAAATGGTAGAATGGCTAGAACATGGAGAGAAGATCCATTCATCCGTCTTAACTCAAGAGACGAAGAGTTGGTTGTATGTGATCAACAGTCGCCTTATCCCCTCCACAAATACTACGAAGGTGAATGGACCCCGGGCTGCATTGATTTGGTGTTTCATCAAGGGTCTTCCCTTCAACATGGCCAAAGTGATCCACGACGAGATGTTTATCTGATGCCCTAATGCCAGTATGGTTTCTTTTTCCCATCTTTGGTGACTAGGCTTTGCAGAAATGTGTAGGTGCTTGAAAACATTCGTGTGGACGGGCTGGTAAGAAAAAGCCACAAGATCTGACCTGGCCCGAACACCACGGAGGTAGCCTCAGCAGCAGAGGCAGGTAGAGAGGATGAAAGTGGTTCTGATGCATCGGAGGAGGAAGAGCAAATGGATGTGGAGAGAGAAGCACAGGCTCAAGCGCCCAGAAATCAGCTGCAGCACTGTCACGCGCAGCATCCTCTTCAAGAAGTGCCAGAGTATCCCGGTCCACCACAGTGGAACAGGAGGTGGCTGATATACGCACGTCCATGCATGATTTGAGCACTCGTGTGGACGCGATAGCTGACCGACAAGTCAAGTCGGAAAAGAAGTTCATGGGTTGGCTGCGAGCTTTGGGGCGTGCGTGCAACGTGAACCCCGAAACCGTGTCCGATCAAGAGTGAAGCTCCAGGGAAGTCTTTTTACCCCACTTTTTTCAAAAAATTTTAAGCCATGGGGACATGTCTTCTTTTTAAGTGGGGGGTGGGGGATTCCTTCATTGTATGTTGTATATAATTGTACAAATTGTCGGGTTGTTTTGTTTGTCTCATGTTGACTTGACAGTTTTTGTTAAGCAGGAGTAGTTTTATTATATATATATAAAAAAAACTAAAAAAAATTGTAGGCTCTTCCTGATGACGAATATTTTAGACGATTTTCTTAAGGGAAGTGAGTCTAGAAAAAAACAACAAAAAGATTTTTTATTTTATTTTTTTTCTCTTAGGTAGTGTAGCAATTCCCCCTTGGTTTTTCTTTAAGCCGCGGTTCTTTTCCAAGGGTTTAGCTTGAACTGGGCATAGGTAGTTTTTATTTTTGTTTTCTTTTTGATTTGTAGATTAGGGTAATGGGCTACGAGCTATAAAATTGAAAGAGAACTCATAGCGTTGACACACCTGAACACAATAGACCCTATGTTGTAACGCTTAGTCCTAATTGTTGAATCTCACTGAAAGCACCTTAAATAGTATATTTGTACTGAATTGAATGCTCGTAATGAAGTGTCTTGATGATCTGATCTGAATGAGTCATATGCCATGTGTGGTGAGTATTTGTGTAGTCCATGTATTATACTTGTGTCTAGAACTTGCCCGGCATGTGAGTTGAGGCGAAATTTGAGGTGATGCTCGGTTTGAAAAATGATGTTAGGCTTTCTTTGACCTTTTTGAGCTTAATTGCTTATCACAAATAAAATTTGTCCCTATTTAACCCTTTTGAGCCTTTAGACTTTTGTTTGGCACCCGCATTACAAGCTTATACCCTTTTGTTCTTAATTGACATTGTTTTGATCCTTTTACCTCTTAAAGCACTTTAATTATGAGAGGAGCGCTAAAAGAAGTAAGAAGGAAATAAGTGTAGGGTGGCTTTTGAGTGGAACCAATAAAAGGATGAAAGGTGCAGTTATGTTGTAAACGAATACACCACTAGCAGAAATTGAGTGACAAGAAAAATAAACTGAAAAAAAAAGAGAGATGATCACATTGTGTCATGCTCTAGCTAGAGAGAATGAATTAATAGAGTGCTTAAAGAAGAAGGGCGTATTTGTGGGATTATATTGTGTATGAATGAGAAGTGGGTTGAAGAATTTGTACTGAAAATTGCTCGTGTGATGTGTTAAAGTGCTTAGGGGTTGAGTCACTATTCCTAAATATATCCTACCCGTCTCTTAGCCCACATTACAACCATGAAAAAGTCCTAATTGATTTTGAATCGAGCTAGCCTACCTTAGTAGAGATTTACATAAAGGGCAAGCTTATGGTACCACTTGCATGCATGTGACCTCTTTTGTGAGAGTGAGTGATTTCCTTGATATATGTGAATATATGAATTGAATGTGGTGGATTGAACTCAGTTTTGTTGATGTAATTGTGAGGGCATATGATTCGTGACGGAAAAGCAAGTCTTGACTTCTGTGCAGAGTATTTTGAGGAAGTGTGAATATTGCATGGCACTTGAGAGTCGACTTTAAGGCTAGGATTGTTCATTGCTAGGCGTAATACATGTACATTGTTCTAGGTGTAATGTGTTAAAGGAAATGGTTGAGCGAAGGATTCTCTAGAGAATATAGTTGATTGCTCGAGGACTAGCAATGAATTAAGTGTGGGGTGTTGATAATAGGCGAAATCTAGGTGATTTAGCTATTGTTTATGCTTCCGCTTGATTATATTCCGATGTCATATTATGGTCAATTGATGAAAAATAGGCTCTAATTGTGATATGTATACATTGCAGGATGAGGAGCCTAAATAATGCTTTCAAGAGGATATTGGAATGATTTATGAGCAAGAACAACCCCTAGGAGTCGAGTGTGCGCAAGGACGAGACGGAAAAATGGACGGAATCGAGCTTCAGAAGCACGCTAAGTAAAGCGCTAACTCCAAACTTCGCGCAGTAGTTCGCGAGCTTTTCTGCCTGGAATCTAAGAGAAACGTGCGAAGTAACGTGCGAACTCCATACTTAACGCAGTAGTTCGCGCGTGTCCGATCCGGAGAAACGTTGCTTGGGGGTAAAATTGGAAATTTGGAAGGAAACCCACTTAACCTATATAAAGTCAAGCTCGCCCAAGGTTAAAGGGGGGAAGTTTTTCATAGTTTAGTGGATGAGATAGAGAGGCAAGAGGCAAGGAGGAGTTTTGATCATCAAAGTCTTCTTTTCTTCTTTTGTTTTTGCTGTTTGTGATGAAATTGAACTTGTTTATGATGAACCCTAGTATGAGCAGCTAAGACCCATTGTTCTAGGGTCGTGGGTAAAACATGAATGTTGTTGTTTGAAGTTTAATTTGACAAAATTGGTTTATCATATNGAAGTTTAATTTGACAAAAATTGGTTTATCATATTGGGTTATTTATTTAATTTTGTTCTTAATTATTTTGCTGAGTAGCTAACAGTGAAATACTATCTACGAATCTTCAGTTGAACTCGAAAGTGGGAACTTTAGATTGTATATAGAATTAAATAGAGCAAGTTCTTGAACCCGGGCCTCGGGGAACAGATTTGCAATTAGGATAGACATATACCCAATTGCCTTGTTTAGTTGGAATACAGGAATTGTAAATGTGTTCTTGTTAATCTTAATTCCATAGACATATAGGCATTGAGTTGACTTGAATAGGCGAGTAAGAACTCGACATATTCTTATGAGTAATATCAACCCTGTCAATCAATAACCCAGATAAATTGATTAGTCATTTCGAGCCAAGAACACAACACGAATATAACTATGCCCGTGACCCTGGAATATCTTCTCCTATTGTTTGTTACTTGTGATTGCTATATGTTTGGTTACTTGCTTTAGTTAGATTAATTCTTTATAGTTAAGTAGTAAAACAATTACATCTCTCTCTTGTGAACAATCTCTTGGGTAGATAAAGAAATTGGGTTTGAATTAGTCAACAGTTGATCATAAGTCTTCGTGGCAACGATACTCTACTCACTACTCTATTACTTGACGACCGCGTATACTGGCGTGTGTGTTTGGTCGCAACAGCGACAGACTTGATATCCTAATCTATACTTAGCGCTATGATAGATGTCGTCGACGAACATTTTATATCGGTTCCAATAAATTTTCATAAAGACATAATATAGAGATCTCTTTATTCATATATTCAGGTACCTGAATCTCTCATGAGATTTTATGAAGTGTTATGTGATGTGATCTTCTATATCACTTGCCTCCTTATTATGACCATTTAGATCATTTGATCATCTTCTTTATCAAGAAGTTTATTTGAAACTGATTTGTCTATATGCTTTAAGCGTACCATAAACTTTGTCCTTCTATGACTTAATATGAGCATTTGTAATGAGAATATAGTTACTTTCTTTGGGTCAGCAAATGCGTATGGCATGCTTTGCAATATATTGCAAATGAATTATCTTTTTATAAACTTCAAGTTCATATTATCCTATTCGATGATCAATATGTATAAATAATAATTCAATCTATGTAACTTTTTTCTCAACTATTGTATCTTGTCTCACCCTCATGTTAGAAAAACTAACTTGCTTCCTCAACTTTGAAAATTCATCTTTGTGCATTATGATGTTAATAAAAATATACACCGCACATCAATAATAATAAGATGAAATTATTTGATTCTTGATCTTGAACCACTTGTGAGGGGAGAAAATAATATACTTTTGTATATAACATATATCAAACTGATATATATATATATATAACTTTGTTCTCATAAGAAATAGTTTAGCTATTAAGTGGAGGAACTCAATAAATTATTTTGCTAAACCAACTGTGATGTAAAACAACTTATCAAGATGAACTTCTTGAATAGAAAATCTGGAAATTATACTCGAAATTAAATTACTGAGCAAGTTACCTCGCAAACACCGGCCAGGTTGCAGGATAATAATAATCGCACATGTAACCATCTCATAGATGCATCTTATGTGGTATACATGGCAGGTGAATGGGCCTCAATTCACCTTTAATATTTCCAGCATTCATGGGATTCAATCCCAGTTTTAGTTGGTCTATTAATTAATGAGAACAAACAATATAAGAGAATTCGTAAAGAACTTTCTAGTTCTTTAATATTTACCCATGTAGATTCTCTTTTATTTTTTCACATCATACTTAAATTAATA